ACACCATCGCCTTTAAAGATACGCGGTAAGTACATACCAGCATCATTTTGAGATGCAAAATCTAGCAACTTCTCAAATTGTTGTGATTCAAATTCGATATCTGGGTTACAAATCAAGAAAAAATCACTTTCTGCTACATATTGTTGTATTGCAATATTATGACCATAACCAAAACCAAAATTACCTGCAGTTTTGATATAAACTATTTTTTCATGAGAAAAACTATCAGCCCAATTGCTTGCGTCATTATCAACTAGAATTATTTTTTGTATAGAATTTGTGCTTAATAGAGAGTCTAATGTGGGTTTTAATTCTTCATAAGAATGTTTATAAATTACTATAGATGCAAAAACTTTCATGGCACTCGATGGCTTTTTATTGGTTAATCATGGGGTGTGCTTGTTTAAACTACAGCAGACCTTTTCTGAGGTAACATACATTATGTGTTAATCTCTGCAACTGTTTGTGATTGCATTCCTCTTCCATTGTACCTTCCATAATGACCAATAGCCATAGCCGCTACTGTCCTACTCTTGTAACTTTACTTTTTTAAAATTGAAGAAAAGTATGAACTATGGTTTTGACTGTGTCTTGCACATACTCGTAAAAACCAAAACTGTTAAATTTTTGTAATGTTATGGGGAATGATGTTTACTCGCCTTTGACTAAGTCTTTGTCCAAAAGAGTTTTTGGTATAAAATACAGCATAGGACGCAAGTTTTGATAAGCTTGTTGACTTATGAGTTGATGGGGCTAACTTTAGTTCTTTTGGTGGGTTTTTCTAATAGTAATCAACCGAAAGAGTTGTTGAGTCTAATGTTCAATTGAAAAGAAGTTGGCCTATAATGGCTGAAATTGAAAATAAAAGCTAAGCAGAGGAAATGTATAAATAATTTTTATTTTAAAATAAATTATATTCCAATAGTTTGGTTTAAATTAGTTTGAACGATTAATTAATATTTTTAATACAATTTATTATAGGTGAAAATTGAACTATTAGTATTACTTTTAAATAAAATAAGGTCAGAATAGTTTTATCTGTGGGTTATTTTAACCTAACTATTCTTAAAGAGTAGATAGGTTTATCTTTCATTAAGCCTGCGCATCAATATTATAGGCAAAAAATGGCTTCAAGGTTACACGCATCATATGTGTCAATATTACAACGTTTTTGTGATGTTGTAGCAATTTATTTGGGCTTTTACTTTATTTCTAAAATAAATAATATTCCTGTAGATAATAGAACGCTTTTAATGTTTTTGAGTGTAGTCAGTTTATTTCAGCTCATTGGTGGCTTGACTGATTTTTATCGCTCATGGCGTGGTGTTAGCCTATTTAATGAATTAATTTTTTGTCTTAAAAATATTCTACTAAGTGTTGTTTTGGTGAGTCCAGTTCTTTTTCTTTTAGGGAAAATAAATCTACAGATTGTTATATCTTACTTTATTTGTGTCGTTTTTATTATGTCTGCGCTGCGCGTTTTTATTCGATTGGCATATGCATTATTTTTTAAATATTTTATTCGCGCAAATGATGTCCTCATATTAGGTAATACAGACAAAGCGTTGAAGCTTTTTCAAGACTTAAAGCACTCAGAGTGGACAGGCTTTAACCCAATAGGTGTGTTCTCATTTAGACAGGACTATGACCGCTTTATTTATTCTGGTGGACTTGATGACGCAATGGAAAAACGATTGCAATTTGGGGAGCCGCTTTTAAGCAACATACCTCTAGTACTAGTTTTTCACCTATTCATCCGATGCTGGCTGCACTGTGGGCTCAAGGTGTGACCGTTCGTTTGCATGATCCACAGGCCTTAGAAGAAATACATACAATTTATGGTGACCGTGATAATTTAATTTTATGTGAAGATCAGTATGACGCGGTGAATCAAGCACATGGTCTATGTGTTCTAACTGCATGGAAGCAATATTGGTCACTTGATTATACGCAATTAAAACTTAAATTAGTCCATCCTTTGATTTTGGACGGACGTAATATTTATCAACCTGACTATGTTAAAAGTCAGGGTTTTGCATATATGGGAGTAGGAAGATAATGATAAATTTAACTATTTTTCCTAAAAAAACATTACCAACAACACTTGAGCATTTACAAGATTTAAGTTTGACCGTAGGTCAAAAGCATTTAAACGAGTTTTTTGCCGAAGATAATCAAAGATTTAAGCATTTTTCTGTTCAGTATGACGAAATTACTTTTGATTACAGCAAACATCGTGTTGATGAGTCTGTAATAAGCGCATTGATTGACTTTGCACAAGTTCGTGATCTTTCTACGTGGACGAAACGTTTATTTTCAGAAGAAGAAATTAACTATACAGAACAGCGTGCAGCTATGCATTGGGCGCTTCGTTTACCGAAGCATGATGAACAGCATCCTAAATTAGCAGGCAAAGTACATGAGCAATTAGAGCGAATGTATGCATTGGTTGAGAAAATTCATGCGGGTCAGTACCGTGGTGCAACAGGTGAAGTTATACAAGATGTGGTCAATATTGGTGTGGGTGGGTCTGATTTAGGCCCATTGATGGTGAGTCATGCTTTGTCTGATTTTAAAGTTAATACGATTAAGCCTCTGAAGGTGCATTTCGTGTCAACGATGGATGGCACTCAACTTTCAGATCTGTTGCATCAGTTACGTCCAGAAACGACTTTATTTATTATTTCATCCAAATCCTTTGGAACGATAGATACATTATACAATGCGCAAACAGCACGCCAATGGCTTGAAAAGCAATTGGGGCAATCTGAAGCAGTAAATCAACATCATTTTATTGGTGTATCGACTAAGCCTGAGAAAATGACAGAATGGGGTATAGCAAGCCATAATCAGTTTTTGCTCTGGGACTGGGTAGGTGGCCGTTACTCTTTATGGTCCTGTATTGGTTTGCCGATTGCATTAAATATTGGTGTGCAAGGGTTTAAGCGACTACTTGCAGGGGCCTATGCAATTGATGAGCATTTTCAAAATGCACCTTTACAGCAAAATATTCCTGTTCTTATGGGTATTTTAGGGATATGGAATCATAACTTCTTGGGAATCCAGACTCAGGCTATTTTACCTTATGATGGTCGTTTAAAGTATTTTTCTGCATATCTACAACAGCTTGAAATGGAATCGAATGGTAAATCCATTCAGCGTAACGGAAAGAAAGTTGAGCTAAACACTTGTCCAATTGTTTGGGGAGAAGTTGGTCCGAATGCACAGCATGCTTTTTATCAGCTGTTGCACCAAGGTGCGCATAAAGTGAGTTGTGAGTTTATTGCACCGGTTAATCGTTATGCAGCTAACCAATT